AAATTAAGCATAAGATCTAGGTGCTGGTAAGGGGTAGGGAGCAGACAAAGATGGCTGGCTTTGTGGAGGGGAATGCTGTGTCTCAAAATGGGTTTTGCAGTTACTTCCTTTAATCCCCACAACCCCCTCAGGTTTATTTAGCCTCAGAGTTGGGGTGAGTTTGTTGTCCTTAGTGTGTATGTTTGTGGTGTGTTTGCTGCTTGTCCGAAGTATATAGCGTGGTCTCTTTGTTTGGGGGACTTTGTGCTGAGCTAGAGGCCTGCTGGGCAAGGCTGAGAGCGTCTTTGATTCCCATGCCCTTTAGTACTCATCAACCCTTACCCGGGGGCAGGGCTACATAGTGAGAACAGAGGTTTAAAAAGCCCACTTCTAAGTGACCAGAGGAGCTAGCGACCAGGAGCAGCTAACCAGGGAGTTTTGCGAAGGAGTTTAGAGTGGGGATGGGGGGGGCTAGATACACTTCATTAATATTCTTTAAACTTAAGGCAATAAACACTCCCTATAAAAACAAAACAACAATAAAGGAAAGAGCTGCAGAAGTAAAAAGAGAATGCAGGCAGAAGTCCAGAAACAGAGTTTATTGTACTGAATGCAGCATGTATGATTACCTGCTTTATGGGCCGGGGGCGTACGTGTGCATTTGATGCAAGGAGCTCCTGTCCCTCAGAGACAGTGTACGGGTTTTGGAGACTAGAGTGGCTGAACTGGAGGAGCTAAGGGAGACAGAGCGGTACATAGATGAAACTTTCCAGGACAACGGGAGAGTAGTCCCACCCTCAGTCTGAAGCCTCTGTGCTGTTAAGGAGAATGAAAGTCTCAGGGAAGGAAAACATCAAAGTGGAGTAGAGGGAAATGATCCCATAGTTGGGATCCTCCTTCCAGATGATGTTGTGGTATCTTTTTGCACCGAGGATACCTCTGTGGGGGAGGGAACTCCAGTTATTAGGAAGAGATGGGTAATAATAATGGGGGATTTGATCATTAGGAACATAGATAGCTGGATTTGCAATGACCAGGAGAACCTCATGATGGGGGAGGGATAGCTCAGTGGTTTGAGCATTGGCCTGCTAAACCCAGAGTTGTGAGTTTAATCCTTGAGGAGGCCACTTAGGGATCTGGGGCAAAATCAGTACTTGGTCCTGCTAGTGAAGGCAGGGGGCTGGACTCGATGACCTTTCAAGGTCCCTTCCAGTTCTAGGAGATGGAATATCTCCTATTTTTTTTATTTTTTTTTTTATTTTTTTATGATGACTTGCCTGCCAGATGCGAAGATTGCAGATCTCTCGAGACATCTTGACAGACATACGTAGTGCTGGGGAGGAGCCGGTGTTTGTGGTACATGTAGGTAACAATGACATAGGGAAGGATAGGAGGCCAAATTTAGGCTGCTAGGTAAGAGATTGAAGTCCAGGACCTCCATCCCATGATAGCATTCTCTGAAATGATTCCAGTTCCACACACATTATTATTGAGTCTTTTATTTTTATAGTCTCTGTAAAAATCCATTTGGATCTTTTAAAGACAGATTATTTAAAACAACCTGCAGTTGCCCCTATCAGACAGAAGCCATCTTTTTAGAAACTTTCCCTTATCTTATTAATTATTTTTTTGGCGCAAACATCCTCCCTATTTCGTTCCTTCTTTCCTTATAACTCATTACTTTCAAGGCCTTTCTTTCACTTGCTAATTATGGCCTTTCTTTACAACTCATATTTCTTTCACCAAACTTAAGGTAACTTTAATTTTATAGTTTTATATTTATTCTACACTGTTGTATGGGACTAGCCACAGTGCGTGAAGTTAAGCACCTGCATAAGTCTTTGAAGAAGTAGTGCCTTTCCTGTGAAGACCTGAGTTCAGGGTTCTGTGCTTCTCTTTTCACAGTGATGACAATGTAAATAAAACAGCTTAAAACAGCATGAAGCTGTTCCATTCATCTTTAAATTAAAGATGCAGATAGAAATATAGTAATACATGAAATATGTGTAGTAATATACAGGTGTATGGTATGCTACATAAATATAGAATTAATATGTTTGGCCACTGGATGCCAGTGTTGTCCCAAATAGATATAATTTTAAGCCTCTTATCATGCATTTCTCAAATAATCACCATTACAAAGCCATCTGTTATTTAAAAACCTATTTTATCTTTTCTACAGTGTCTTGTGATCCTGTGTTTTACTATGGATTTTTAGAAATGCTGCAATATAAAACTGAAGTTATGCTTTTGCGCTGTACCTTATTTTAGGTCTCTTTCACATTTATGCTTTGATGGGTTTTAATTCTTCCTAAACTGTGCTACATTTTTTCCTATTAATTGTTGTGTTGAATTTGGTGCTTAAGAAAGGGAGAGGCTACAAGTGTTGATAAAAAGCAGATAAAGTAAGTAAATGCAGTACAAGTTTCCACATAGTGGGCTTGATCCTGCACCAGTTTAAATCCATGGCAGACCCCCACTCTGACTTCAGTCCTGCAGGGTCAGACAGTACACTTCAGTTCTGACCGGCAACAAATAGTTTTCTGATTAGGTGGAATGGTGCTAAAATAACACCACTGCACTAATTTTAAATTAAATTGTGATTATACCCAGGTCTGCAGAAATGGCAGCCCACATTTCAAAGGGGAAAGTGCAATAACCAACTATGCTACTGAAACCTCAGGAAACTTGAGAGGTTACTATTTTCATAGTGGGGGGGGGGAGGGATAGCTCAGTGGTTTGAGCATTGGCCTGCTAAACCCAGGGTTGTGAGTTCAATCCTTGAGAGGGTCACTTAGGGATCTGGGGCAAAATCAGTACTTGGTCCTGCTAGTGAAGGCAGGGGGCTGGACTCGATGACCTTTCAAGATCCCTTCCAGTTCTAGGAGATAGAATATCTCCATTAATTCAATTCAATACATTAACCCTCCTACTCAATCTATATGCTACAGGAATTGGCACCCTTAAAATGACTACTTGAATGAAGCCTTAGTAACATAGTAAAATGGCACCTGTGTGATTTATGACTATGTATCATAGAGTGCAATCATTTCAAAATTGTGTCAAACATGAAGAAGACAAATTCATTATTGAGTGTCCTCTGTATATTTGCACTCATGGGATGCACCAGCAGGTGCAGCTCAGTGCCCGTTGGAGCTCTCATGTGTCCCTCCCACCTCTTCTCTTTGCATTTCTGTGTGTTCTGAGGGTGAGACTATAAAAGGGAACATGGTGATCATCTAGTCTGACCATCTGCATAACACAGCCTTTAGAACTTCTCTGAAACAATTCCTGTCTGAACTACAAGAAGTCTCTGAGAAAAACATCTGATCTTGATTAGATTTAAAAATTGCCTGTGATGGAGAATCTGTCATAACCCTTGGTAAATTGTTCCATGGGTTAATTACCTTCACCATTAAAATGTATGCCTTGTTAAAAGATGGTTATTCCATTCAGTTTGAAACACTTCCTCCATCCAAACCCCTCTTCCAGATTCAAGGACTCTCTCACGAAAGCTTGTTAAAATCGGAGATTCAGCCCCTTGAGCAATAGAGGAGGTTCCAAGGGAATTCAGAGGTCAGGGATTCTACTCCAGATATTTTCTGGTATCTGCCCGGTGGGTGCTTGACCGCGCCCCCTACCCCGCCTCTTCCCACCCCTGCACCGCTCTCGCCCCACCTCCATTCCACCCCTTACCCAAAGTCCCTGCCCCACCCCGCCTTTTCCCAAACCTCTTTAGATTAGTTTGTAGCTCGTGATCCAAAGGATGTATGCTTCCCTATCTCTATCAGACCAAGTCACTGCAGGTATCTCCCTTTCATGGTTGGACAAGAACATTTCCAAATACAAAGTCCTACCCTTTGGCCTGTCTGCTGCCCCTGGGTGATTTACAAAGTGCCTATCTGTGGTAGAGACTCTTTTAAGACAGCAGAGTTTTTCATTTACCCTTATTTAGATAATTGGCTCATCAAAACCTCATAAAAAGATGCCCTTTTCAAAGATATGCGTTACACATATTTAAGTGGTTAGAATTCTTGATAAATATGAAAAAAATCCCTTCTGCCTCCTACATAGAGAATCCCTTTTGTAGAAGCAGTTCTTGACTTTCAAGAGGGCAGAGCTTATCTGCTAGAAGACAGATAACTGAAGCTTCAGTGTTCTAAAAGGATGTTGTAATGGGGAACACTTACCTCTTGAGCACCTCCTGTGTGCAGAACTGTAGGCCTTGTTCTACTCCTGGCACCCCCTGTAGGTTGTCAGTTTCACTTGGCAGTTCTTCAGTGGCTTGGCCCTTCAGCCATGTCACATAGTCAAAATGAACCCCTTCTGGGATAGCAAAACTGTATATCTGCTCTGACCAGGGTTTTAAGACCCAGCTCTGGGCCCTTTAAATTCAGCCCTTTGCTTTGGCTTCCAAATGAGCCTTGTCCCATTCTTGGGGTTTACACCACTTCTTCAGTGGTTGGTGTTGGAGCCCAGGCCCACCCACTACTTCAGGTTCCAACTGAGGGAGCCTATAAACAGCAGCCATGTGCCTCTCATTTAGATTAATTGCTGCTACTTCCTTGGGCCTCCTCCTACCTGGACTCTTTATCTTCATCCCTTACCTAACCTTACTATAGGGTTAAAGTTCTCAGGTCCTATCTCTCCCAGCTTAAGCAAATGCAGCCAGAACCAAGCTCTGGTTATCCCTCGAGATACGTTGGCCAGAGAGGAGCACCCTTTCTTGTCCTTTGGTCCCAATCAGGAACTGACCTGCTAAGGCCCTGCAGCGCCTTTAATCTGAGTCTGCTGGGCTCTGATTGGCTGCTTCTGTATAGATTCTCTAGGCAGGCCTAGAGGACTCACCTTTTCTGGTCCCTTCCTGAGGCACAGTATAGTAGGATCACAGGGCTTCCAGCAGGGGGCCATGAAGGGCCTGATACTCCTTGTCACAGTGCTTTATCAAAATGCTACTTGAAAAGTAATGTTCTATTGAGCACTTATGGGCCTCATGGCTTCAGCCTCTTATGTCAGACCTTATGCTTCAGCAGTACATATACTAAAATTGGAATAATACAGAGAATATTAGCATGGCCCCTGAGCAAGGATGACACGTAAATTCATGAAGAAGCGTTCAGAATGAGAACTCTGTAGCATTGGCTGGTGTTAAATTACAGACCAGGTACAAATAGTATGTTGACCAGATTGAATATCCCAGAAGAAATACTGCTATCCTTTACAAAGTGGCGTCACCATGTAAATGTTCTGAAAGGGGTATCGTTCAATCCTCTTACTCAGTCAGTAACAGTTACCTTTGATGCCTTCAGCAAGAGATGGGGAGCAACAGATTAGCAACTAGAGGTTACTGGAGCTCTCAAGAAAAGAGATCACTAACTTCCTAAAATTGAGAGTAATTTGTTTGGCATTCAAATTTTTTATACATGGCATCAAGAACAAGGTAGTGCCGTTCATCACAGACAATATACTGGCAGTGTACTATGTGAACTCTTTCCAGCTGTGTGAGGATGCAGTCAAGTTATGGGCTTGGTATATCCAGCACAGTGTTTATTTTGGAGCTCTACATGTAGCAGGCAAAGTCAACAGGATAGTAGTTCAACTGAGCAGAGACGTAACCAACTGCATGAATGGTTATTAAAGAAATCGATGACCTATACAGGCTCCCAGACATAGAACTTCTTGTCACCAGACAGAATTTGAAGTGTCTATTCTTTTGCTCATGAGCAAGGAGAGACAGTCTGTCCATATCAGAGTCTTTTCTTGTGAGCTGGTGGGTCTCATAAAAAAGGGTCTGTTTTATGCTTTCATACATTCTAGGACTGGAAGGGACCTCGAGAGGTCATCGAGTCCAGTCCCCTGCCTGCATGGCAGGACCAAATACTGTCTAGACCATCCCTGATAGATATTTATCTAACCTATTCTTAAATATCTCCAGAGATGGAGATTCCACAACCTCCCTAGGCAATTTATTCCAGTGTTTAACCACCCTGACAGTTAGGAAAAAGTTCCTAAATGTCCAACCTAAACCTCCCTTGCTTCAGTTTAAGCCCATTGCTTCTTGTTCTATCCTTAGAGGCTAAGGTGAACAAGTTTTCTCTCTCCTCCTTATGACACCCTTTTAGATACCTGAAAACTGCTATCATGTCACCTCTCAGTCTTCTCTTTTCCAAACTAAACAAACCCAATTTTTTCAGCCTTCCTTCATAGGTCATGTTCTCAAGACCTTTAATCATTCTTGTTGCTCTTCTCTGGACCC